GTGCAGCAAGTGCGGCGTGGAGAGCCCGTCACTCACCGGGGAGAAAGTGTGGCTGTGCAAGATCTGCGCCGAAACGAGGGAGATGTGGAAGCGGTCCGGAGCCTGGTTCTTCAGGGGAATCCCCAAGCATATACTCCCGCCGACCACCAACACTTTGGCAGGAGGAGGGAGAAGGAGTAGGGCGCCGCCTCGCAGAGCTAATACTATTGGGGTTAAAGGTAAGGAGGGAGGTGGAGGTGGAGGAGGAGGTGAGGTGGTGGTGGAGGTGGAGCGGTGATGGTGGGTGGTGGAGGAGCAGGAGTTGGAGCTGGAGCTTCAGGTGGTGGAGGTGGAGGTGGTAGAGCAAGAGGTGGAGGTGGTGGTGGTAGAGCTGGAGGGGAGGTGGTAGTGGTGGAGGAGCAGGAGTAGGAGTTGGTGGTGGTGGTGGAGGGTGAGGAGGTATGGTGGAAGTGGAGAAGGAGGTGGAGGAGGTGGCGGTGAAGCTGGTGGTGGTGGTGGAGGTGGAGAAGGAGGTATGGTGGAGGTGGTAGAGCAGGAGGTGGAGGTGGTGGTGGTGGTCGAGGTGGAAGTGGTGGAGGTGAAGGAAGAGGAGTAGGAGCTGGAGCTTCAGGGGGTGGAGGTGGTGATGAGGAAGGAGTTGGATGTAGTAGCGGAGGTGATGGTGGAGGTGGTGGAGGAGGAGAAGGAGGAGAAGGTGGTGATAGAGGTGGGGGATGTGGAAGGGAAAGACTAGGAGAAAGAAGAAGACAAGGAGGAGGTGTAAGAAGAGGAGAAGAAGGAAGTGGTAGGAGCATATAAAGGAAAATCAGGGAATAAAAAAAGACAAGATAAGGAAAAAGTGACGGAAAAAAGAGAGTAGACGAAGAATGGCGAAGATGTTTACACATGGGAGAAGAGGAGGAGGAGGTGGAGAAAGGCGGATAAGGACCACGAATGAGAGCATAGGATAGGGGAAGAAGGAGTAAGAGAAGAAAGAAGGTTTGGAGGAAGGGTGGAAGGAGCCGGGAGGGCTAGGGAACAAAGGAGATAAAGACACATAGATAGATAGGAAAAGAGAGAAAGAAAGAGAGCAAAAGAGAGAAAGAAAGAAAGAGAATGAGAGGGGAAAAAGACGAAGGTTGAAAGGATGAAAGAAAGAGAGAGAGAGAGAAGGAGACAGATAGATAGATATAGGGAGAGAGAGAGAGGAGATAAATAGTTAGATAGATAGATAGCGATAGAGATAGATAGATAGATAGGGAGAGAGATAAATAGATAGATAGAGAGAGAGAGAAAAAACGGAAAGATAGACAAATAGATAGATAGAAAGACAGACAGAGAGACAAAGAGAGCGTAACCCAAAATAAATACAAAAATAACAGCCCCCTTCCTCCTCCTCCTCCTCCTCCTCCCGAAAGTCAAAAACCGAAACAGACAAATAAAAAAAAAAAGGCTAAAGAAAATAAAACCCCGAGAGGAGAAAGCCAGCAGAGGAATAACAAAGAGACAAAGACGACAGGACAGCAAGCGTCCGAGAGAAGAAGAGATTGACGCCATATTGTTTTCCTCTGAATAGCGAGCCTTCAGAAGGAACCCGTTGCTTCGTTTCCATTTGCTGGCCGTCACGTGGCTCCAACAACAGCAACAACGATGCCAACAACAACGACGATAAAATAGCAACAAAAAAGACGATGCCAACAACAATATCAACAACAACAACGATACGATACCAACAGCAAAAACAACAACGATACGCATACAACAGCAACAGCAACAACAACGATACCAACAAACATCAACAACAACAACAATAGCAAGATACCAACAACATCAACAACAACAAAATCGATGGCAACAACAACAATATCAACAACAACAACAACAACGATACACAACAACACAACGATATCAGCAACAACAACAGCAACATGGATACTAATAGCAACACAGCAGCAACAACAACAACTATAGCAATGCAAATATAAAACATGACGACAAAAACAAATAATCTTAACAATACCAACAACTATAGCAATGTAAATATAAACATGACGACAAAAACACACATAACAGTAGCGACGAAAACAAATAATAATAACGACAAAATAAAAAACAAATGCAAAAAATCACAACAAGCACAGACAACAATAACGACAAGAACAACAAAGACACTTTTCATCTTTTCCTTCTTCTTGAGTTTGTGGCTTTTGTTGCTTCAGTTGCGGTTCTCTTGTTTGTTGTTTTTACTTGTTTTGATCTTTGTTTGAAGGGCCGCTGCTTTGAGGATCCTTTTCTTGCTTTCGCTTTCGTCAAGACTGCTGTCATTAACATTAATTTTGTCATTAACATTAATTTTGTCATTAAGTGTTGTTAGATTGTTGCTGATGCGACTGTAATTTGATCTTCATTATTTTTGTTATTATTATTTTTGTTATTTCATTTTATATATTTATTTATTTATTTATTTTTATTTTTTTTATTTTTTTTATTTTTTATTTATATTTATTATTTCATTCCATTTCATTTCATTTCATTTCATTTCATTTCATTTCATTTCATTCATTTCATTTCATTTTACTTTACTTTATTTTATTTTACTTTACTTTACTTTACTTTTTTATTTTATTTTATTTTATTTTATTTTATTTTATTTTATTTATTTTATTTTATTTATTCATTTATTTTGATTGAAATAAACGTAAATATCATCCCCTACTTATTCTACGTCGATCCCCACTTTCCTCTTCCCCTTCTTCTTTCTCCTTCCCCTTCTCCTTCCCTTCTCCTTCTCTTCTCTCTTCTTCCCCTTCTTCTTCCCTTCTTTTCCCTTCCCCTTCCCCTGCCCCTTCCCCTTCTCCTTCCCCTTCTCCTTCCCCTTCTCCTTCCCCTTCTTCTTCCTCTTTCTCCTTCCCCTTTCTTCCCCCTTCTCTTTCCCCTTTCCTCTTCCCCTCCCTTCTCCTCCTTCTCCTTTCCCCTTCCCCTTCCCCTTCTTCTCCTTCCCTTCCCCCTCCCCTTCGCCTTCCTCTTCTCCTTCTCCTTCCCCTTCTCCCCTTCCCCTTCTCCTTCCCCTACCCTACCCGTCACCCGTCTTCCTCCCTTCCTCCCCTTCCTCCCCTTCCTCCACCTCCCGGCACGTGTCCCTTTCCCCACTTCTTACCCTCTCCCCCACCTCCCCTTCGCGGTAGCCTTACCCTCCTCCCACTATTCTCCTCTCCCTCACGTGTACCCTTCTCCCTCCTTCCTCCCTTCACCTCCCCGCTTCCCGCGGTCTTCCAACTTCTTCGCCCTCCTTTCCTTCCCATCACCTGTATTCTGCCTCCCTCCACCTCCTTTCTCCCCTCTTTTTTTCCTCCCTCCACCTTCCCACCCCGTCACCTGTATCCTTCCCTCCTCCTCCCCTTCTCCAATTACCTGTATTCTGTCCCCCTCCTTCTTCCTACCTCCACTCCCTCCACCCGTCACCTGTATCCTTCTCCTCCCTCCTCCCTTCCCCTCCTCCCATCACCTGTATTTTCCCTCATTCCTCCTCCCTCCTCCCCGTCACCTGCACCCTTCCCTCCTCTCCCCCTCCCAATTACCTGTATCCTTCCCTCCACCTCCCTTCTCCTCATCACCTGCATCCTTCCCTCCTTCCCCCTCCCTCCTTTCCTCTCCTCCCCATCACCTGTATCCTTCCCTCCTTCCTTCTCCCTTCACTTCCCTCCTCCCCATCACCTGTATCCTCCCTTCCTCCCTTCCCCTTCTCCTCTCTTTGTTTAGATTTATTCAAGAGAATCACATGAATTTATTCACCATGAATACATCAACACACCTTCCCCTTTTAGGATGTGTGTCAGACGCGGCTGACTTATTCTTTCCCTTTTCCTTTCTCTCTTTTCTATTCTTTTGTTGCCTGGCTGTGTGTGTTTGTTTTGTCGTTCTCTGTTTCCTGTCTGTTTGGTGCTCTGTTTCTCTCTCTGTGTCTGTCTCTCTCTCTCTCTTCTTTTCTCTGTTTGTCTATCTATCTTTCTTTCTCTCTGTGTGTTTCTGTGTTTGTTTGTCGTTCTCTATTTTCCTCTCTCTCTCTTTCTCTCTCTCTCTCTCTCTCTCTCTCTCTCTCTCTGTTGCTGTGCCCTTATTTTTGTTTCATTATTCAGTGCTTACTGTATTACGTAAAGCAACAAAGATGTTAAAGATTAATACAGAAACAAAATAATCTGGATACGAAGAAAGAGGAAGAGAGAGAGAGGGGGAAAAGACAGAACAAAGACGAGAGAGACACAATCCGGGTTGGGTCATTCAGTTCCCGCCACGCGCCGTCATGGTGTGACTGATTAAAAATGGCCGCGGGAACATAAATGGAGCTTCGAGTGTGTCTACAAGAGTGGATATTTGTCACGTCGCCTTTGTGCGAGTGTAGAACGTCCGACAGAGACGCTGAAAAGAAATGTCCGACTGAGAATTCGAAAAGTAGAAGCAAAGGGGATTTCGCCTGAACGATTGAGCTTGTCTGCCTTTCACTCGCTCCGGGTTGCGCATCTGAGAATTCCTTTGTTTTTTTTTTTTGGAGAACTTTCAACCGTGTAATTCTCTTTCGTCCTCTTTATATACCGAGATGAGACAACAAAGTGCAATAAATGAGCACGAAAAAAGGACTGAAAATGTTTTTTACTAAATATATTCACCTTACTTCTCGCTTTTATACAATGCCTCTTTATGCACTCAGCTTTACAGTTCCGCGGTACTTCCCCGAGTCTTTGAAGGTCCCGAGGGTGCAGTCTCCTAACTCCTTGATCTTGTCCTGACCACTTTAGGGCGCTGAGAGTTGTCTCTCTCTCTCCCTCGCACTCACTGTGGGTATTTCTGTCCGCTTGTCTGTCTGTCTGTTTGTTTTTCTCTTTCCCTCACTCTCTCTCTTTTTCTTCTCTCTGTTTATATGCCTGTTATGTGTCTATCTGTTTCTTTCCCTCTTTCTCTCTCTCTCTCTCTCTCTCTCTCTCTCTCTCTATATATATATATATATATATATATATATATATATATATATATATAGATAGATAGATAGATAGATAGATAGATAGATAGATAGATAGATAGATAGATAGATAGATAGATAGATAGATAGATAGATAGATAGATAGATAGATAGATAGATAGATAGATAGATAGATATGAAAAAAAAAACAAATCTACCGTGTTGATACCATGGTCGAAAACCCACAATGCACAAACTAGATTTATTGAAATAAGTTTGTGTCAG